CAAAAATGGTGAGAAGCTCTCTAAAAATGTTGAAAATAACCCCAAAACCAAACCAAACAATAAAATAATTGTAGAATTCCTGAGAAAAACAAAGAAACAAATTGGTAGGATTCCAGTTTCAAACAATAAAACGAACCCAAACAAAACCCGCACACAGGAAAAAAAGCCACAACAAAAAACCAGCCAGCTCATAGGATAAAAGAAGAAGCTGAAGTGCCCCCAAAATGCCCAGGGTGCAAAGCTCCATAAAAGAGTCCAGGGTGAAAGTTTCCAAAATGCTTCCCTGTGGGGAGCACACACAAAGATCTCCAGGACGCAGAGCTCCCAAAAATCCCCAGGCCCAGAGCTGCCAAAAGATAGGGAGTAGCTCCCAAAAAAACAATGTTGAAAAAAAAACCCAAATCAAACCAAAAAACATTTGTGAATTCCAAGAAAAAAAAAAACACCAAAAAACCGAAAACAAACAAAAAAACACCAAAAAGCCCAAAAAATCCACCAAATGAAAACGACAGAAAAAACCAACAACAAAAAAACCACATGGTAGGGATAAAGAAGACGCTGAAGCTCCCCAGAAATGCCCAGGGTGGGAAGCACCCAAATAAACCAAAGTAGAAGAACTCCTTGAGACCGAGTTCCGATGGAACACCTCAAGACCTTGTGGGGAAGCTTTCAGGAAATGCCAAGAACGGTAAATTCCAGTAAAAAAAACCAAACCAAACCAAATTTGTAGAATTCCAGATTAGAAAAAAAACAAACCAAACCCACAAAAAAAAACAAAAGCCATCGCCAAAAAAAAAAAGAATCCAAGCTTGTAGGAAAACAGAAGATGCAGAAATGTGGCAAAAATGCAAAGGGGGGAAAAGCTCCATAAAAGCCTCCAGGGTGGAGAGCCCCTGGGTGGAGAGTTGCCAAAAGGTCAGGGAGTGATTCCCAAAAGCCCCAGTGCTGCTGCAGTGCTCGGGGCCGTGCAGTGAAGCACTGCTGCAGGTTGCTGAGCTGAAGCCCTGCTCTGTGGCTGCAAGGGGATGGCTGCTGCAGGGACTGCCTGGTGAAGCGCTCCTCCGTGCGTGGTAGCAAGGGGAAGCGCTGCTGTGGGCGATGTTGTGAAGGCCAGGGCCACAGGGTGAAACATTCCAAGGTTGCCAGGCACTGTGGGGTTCCAGAAAACACCCAAAGGGAAATTCTCTCCTAAAAGAAGAACGTGAAGCACTGGGAAAACTCCCAGGATGGAGAGCTTCCAAAGGGCCCAGGGTGCAGAGCTCCAAAAAATCCTCTAGGTCAGATGTGCCCAAGGATGCTGAGTAGCTCTGAGAAACCCAAGTGCTGATTAAATCCTTGAGGCCCATGTGCCCAATCCAGCGTCGTCAGGTAAAAGAGTCCAAACCAGCTTGGATTTGCAGAATTCCAGGCAAAAGACCAAACCTCAAAAGGCTCTCAAAAACCAAAAAGAGGCCCCAGGGATGTGAGCTGCCAAAATGCTGCCATGTGGGGAGCTACAAAGGTTGGAAAGCTCCCAGAACCCCAAAGGCACTGCACTCCTCGCAGCTGTGCAGTGAAACAGTCCTGCAGCTTGCTGAGCTGATGCACTCCTCTGCGCATTCTAGAACTTCCATTTGTGATGGAATTCCACAACAGAAAACAAACTTGGAAGGACTCCAGAACACCAAATTGGCTACACAGAAAACCCAGAAGCTGATGCGCTGCCTCAGAGGCATGGCGTGGAGCGTCCCTGCAGTGATGCTCTCCTCCAGGTCTGCGTGCTGAAGCACTCCAAGGTTGCCGGGAAATGCAGAATTCCAGTGAAAAAAACCCAAAGCTTACAGTGCTCCCAAAACCCCAGCATGCTGAAGCCCTCCAGAAATCCCTAGGGTAGAGAGCTTTTGAAACTCTGTTGGGTCGAGAGTTGCCAAAAAAGCCAAAGAATGGATAGCTCCCAAAGCCCAAACGCTGTTGAACTCCTTGAGGCCACGTCATACAGCACTTCAAAAATGGCAGGTATGGTAAGTTCCAGGAAAACACCCAAATCTGAAAGGTCTTCCTAAATCTCAAATGGGCTCTCTACAGATTCCTGGGATGGAGAGCCCCCAGACATCCTTTGAGGGAGAGCTCCATCCAAGCCCGGGAGGCAGAGCTTTGTGAAATCCCTGAGGGGCAGAGCTGCCAAAATGCACAGGGTGCAGAGCTGCCAAAAATCCCAATTCCAATGAAAAACCCCAAGCTTAGAAGTTTCCCAAGCCCCAGAACTGATCCCCAAAGCCACAATGGCTCCCAGAAAAGGCCAGCTGGTGGTGGGATGCGCCGTGAAGGAGTCCTGCAGGTTGGCGAGGTGAAGCTCTCCTCCAGGGTCAGCTGGTGAAATAGTCCAAAATTGGCTGTCATGATAAATTCCAGAAAGGGATCAGACCTTGAAGGACTCCCAGACCCGAAAATGGCTCCTCAGGGTGGAGATTTCCTAAAAAAGTCCAGCGGGGAGAGCTGCCCAAGAGCCACAAGGTAGGGAGCACCCAAAACTCCCCAAAAGGTCTCCCAAAAACCAAATGGTGAAGCGCTCCCCAAAAGCCTTGGGATGAGAGCTCCCAAAATGCCACCAGGTGGAGAGTTCCAAAACTAACAAAGAGCCAAAAAGACCCAAATGCTGATGTGCACTCCTCAGGGCCCCTCATCTTTGGAGGGCACAACCATAAGTGGTGTTGAACCTTGTTAGAATCAAGGCTATTGTAGCTGCAGGAGCTGGTTGTGGGTGGGTAACGCTTCCAGCCTTCTGTGAGGGTGAGGCAGGTCTGGCTCCATGGTGGCTTTAGGGCATGAGCATCCCAGGAGGGAAACAGCCACCTCTCTGTCCTCCCAGCTGCTGGTGCTGCTTTATCAGGACAGCAGTGGCAGGGCACCCACTGTGAGGTCATCGGACGTAGGAATGCCTCTGCTTTCAGGCATGTGTGTCTTGCCTGGCCACTGCTTATGGAGAGGGAGGCGAGTCTGATAACTGGCTGTGGCTGGACACAGATGAGAACAGGCAGAGCACAAGCTGCAGCAGCCATGAAAACAAACGCTGGTGCTGAACGCAGTTGGGCTGGCTTCTGAAAAGGGAATTGTGTCTGTCCTCCGGGACGTGCACCAGCCCCACACGGTTCAACCGTGTCCCCAGAGCAACTGGATTTGTTACTGCGGGGCGGTGATGAATTGATAATAAAAGGGAGGAGGAGCAAAGCAAAATTAAATGGAATTGAAAACTCAGTCATTTAATTTAGAAATGAAATGATATTCTTTTCAGTTGTGAGCTAAATTCCCATCCCTTCCCAGAAAAAAATACCCAGAGGAAGAAATGAGGCAGTAGTTCCGGCGTATTCAGGCAACCACAACAAAAAATGACAACAAAGAGGGAAGAGCGTGAAGGGAGCAACAAATCACTTTCCTTCTCTGACAGCATAACACCTTGTGAGGGGCAGGTACCTGAAAGTGGGCTCCAGAAAGCCTGCACACCTGAAGTTCCCGTTGGCAGGGTAACAGAAGTTGGTCTCTAGCAACTTACTGATGGCTGCTGGAAAACTGCTGCCAGAGTCATGCCTGTTATTTCCCCAGTGACACGCTGTCTGGTTCTGAGGATGACTGTTCTGGTCACCTTGTTGTGCATGTTGTATAAAATAGGGTGGGAAAGTCCCTAAAACGGGGCCCGGCCCCCTCACTTAACCTGCTCATGAAAAGCATTTGCACATTTTTTCTGATTCTGAAGAGTCCTCCGGTCATCTGTCCCTGCAGCTGTACAGGAAAACTGTTGCACTGAATTCCTTTCTTGCACTCTGTGTCTCCTGGATTCAAGGTAGATGTTTATTCCTTTCTGCCCTGCAGAGCGCTCCCCATTTCCTTCTTCCTGCCCGCCTGCTGCAAAAGGAGCCCATCATGCTTCCAGCCAGAAGAATACGCACCAACAGCGCAGATACCGCCATTCTAACATAGCTGGCTCACCACATTCATAGAATCACGGAACGCTTTGGGTTAGAAAGGACCTTGAAGCCCAAGCAGTTCCAACCCCCTGCCACAGGCAGGGGCACCTTCCACTAGACCCGCTTGCTCAAAGCACTGTTCAGTCCAGCCTTGAACACTTGACCAAGGGTCAGTGAGTTATACCACAGGCATGATAATGTCAAATAGCACAATGGCACAGGTCTTTGGCGAAGTCCTCCTACAGCTTCAAAGGATGCCGTGTTGGTCTTTCTTTCAAGCACGGGAGGCTGAGAGCAGCTAAGTGTTAACACACTTGGCTCCTTCTTTCTCACCCTTGTCCACAATGCAACCATAAACCCAGCCTCATTTTTACCTATCCCCTGACAGATCACTGTAAACAAACCCAGAGGGAATTAGGATTCAGTCAAAGGGACAGCAGCCCTTTTAACACTTTGGTGGCAGGCAATTGCTAAGGCTGCAAGAAACAGCCCCCAGCTCCAGACCCTGCACCAAAGCCTTGTGCATGCGAGCAGCTGCAGAAGGGCAAGCACCACACATGGGCCTGGCTCAGTGGCACTTCTTCCCTAGGTCGCTGGTCCACAGGCATGTGCGTTGTCACATTGCTCCTTTTCTATTGCTGGTGTTTCATGACTTCGGCCTTAGCCAAAAGAGCGTGTGGTTTTGGTGGGCATCCAAGTGACATGGTAGAAAGAAGCAAACACTACATATTATGGAGAGGAGAATGAGTCACTCCCGTGGACTCCAGGCTGAAGAAAAACCCTCAGCAACATAAAGGAAGCAAAATGTTGGGAAATCTCATTCTTTTAGGTAATGTTTGTTACCTTGGCATATGCAATCTCCTTCCGAGATGATGGAATTGATTCACCCTGCAATTTGAGTGCCCTTGTCTTCAGGTACATCTTCATCCGTGAGACGTTTCTCAGCCCCATTGTTTGCCCATAGCTGGCATGCCATGCCTTGCCCTGGCTGACAGTTGTCCTTTGTGGGTGCTGCTGTGGCCAGCTGATGTGGGTGGGGGCCAAGCTGACTTCCTGTGCAAACAGAGGGGATGAGAGGCTGCCCGGCTGGATGGGTACAGGTCCTCCCTATGGCCCTCATCAGCCCGCGGGGACTTGCCCTGCGTGCTCAACCTGTGACAGCTCTGCTCAGAATGCCTCAGGGCTGAGCACATCTGACAACCTCCTATGTGGCTCCTCTCAGGCAAGGAAGCCTTGGTCAAAGCATTTGGCCACACCTGTGCCATTCACAGCTTCTTCAGCTGTCAGCAGGAAGGAGGAAGGAAAGGAGGAAGAGAGACAGAGGGAGGGAGAAAAGGGAGGAAAGAAGGAAGGAAGGAAGGAGGCTGCATTCAGCATTTACCTCCAGCAGCTGGAGCCAGAGCAGCTGATAGTCACCGTGGGAGACGCTCGCCATGTCCTCGCCAGGCTCCACCACCTCTTTGCCCAGCGGCCTGTCTGTCCTGACGACTTTCCCAGATGTGCTCTTCATTCCTGAAATTGTGAGTGCTGGCTTTTCCCTGGGGGAGGGCAGATGCTGCCTGTGGGCATCCTGCACGCTCCATGCTGCAGGCATCTGAGGGGTTCAGACTTGGCACTAAGTGTGTGGCTCAGGAGCCACAAGGCTCTGGGTCAGCCACCTCAAAGAGAACCACAAGCCCTAAGCTGGGACTTTGAACCTCCCTTTAGTTTGCAGGGGCATGTTGGTGTGTCCTTGAAACCTTTTGTAACTGCCTGCGTAACAAAGTTCAAGGAGTTACTGGTGGCTTTAAATCAGGTTGCAAATTGAGGCAATTCATTAACTGCAAGATGAGTTTAATACCTGATACAGGCGGAGGATAAACTGGTTGCTTAAAGCAGGGGCTAAAAGTTTTCTGAGGTTAATTGTTTGCAGCAGCAAAGAGCCCAGGCTGCTGAAGCTGCACTGCTGCAGCATTCCTGAGCTGGAGGTGCAGAGCTCTAGATCTGGGTATGTGTGCAACAGCGGGTGAGCAAAGGGTGAACAAACACCTTAGAACTTCTTCCTAGGTTGTAATGCTATTGAGGAGGTGAAGATCATCATCTTACCGGAATTGGCACAGGTGATTAAAAGCAGCTGCTGTGAGCAGAGATCTGAAATTTAACTATAATCTTTAACGTGTGTTCTCTGCCCCCAGCCATGAAACCTCCTCTCTTACAATAGTTTGAGAGGCTCTTTCTAAAGCCTGACTACTTTCATCCAGCACTGAGGATTTTGGCTGTGTTGTAGGACGGCATTCGGATTATTTCATGCCAAAAACTTCAACTTTGTGATCTGGGACCAAACCCTTTCCTGTCACCCAACTCAGTCCACACTCCTGGGATTGACAATGTTTACTTCATTCTGCTAGTGACAGCAGTCAAGCAAAGAGGAATTAGCTTAAAGCAGGTGGTATTGATGTGTAGGGAAAGGCTTTCCTTCAGTTGCCCTAAATATGCTCTGGGGACTTGCCCTCTGTGCCCGGCACCTAAGAATAAGCTCCTGGTTTTCTGCAGCTGCATGAAAAAGGGTGAAAAGTCCCTGCTGAGGTTCTGGATGGGCAGACTATAGCCAGCCATCCCTGCCACTGGGCTGTGTTAGTCCTGGTGCTCATCATGCTATTAACCAAGGTACTGGCTGTGCCTCGAGCTGTTTGAAATTCCTGTCTCCAAGGGATTTGGCAAAGCAGCTTGCTTAATGAGACCAAAAAATAAAAGCACCCTATCCCTTGGTTTGGATAAGGTCTGGAAATGTGCATCCTGAAGGCTCAGGAACCACCCAGGAAAGAAGAATGCTGCATAACCAGATTTCCCCATCTCCAGAAGTGTATGACTCTAGGTTGTGCAGCTGTATTATCTCTGCTGTGTACAAAGGTGGCGGCTGCCTTGAATCACAGCATTTGGAAGGATAAAGAGTTTCCCAGTCTCTAGAGGAATCTGAGGCTGACTGCAGTGGGTTAATAGGGTAACTGCAGAATAAAAACAAAAATTGGGATTTAAAATACTAAGATAGTCTTGACAATGCCAGAAGGTCCTGCCTGCAGCTCAGGCGATAGCCACATATGGATGTGCTGATTAAAACTACCCTTTTTATTCTCTGAGTCTGGGTTTAATTCTTGTAATTTATTTTATTTGAAGAGCTTTTTGCATATATGGATAGCCAGGCCTACGTGGAAAAGCTGAAAGAGGCTGAAAACAGATATGTTTGCTTTGTAGAAGGTGACTTGCTATGGGTCCCCAACTTGCTATGGGTTGTTACTGAAAGCCTCTTGACCCTTCCCTCAGTTTTATGAGTCTGCTGAACAGCACCATGAAATCAAAGTCACTAATGAAAATGTCAAACATACTTGCCTGAGTGAGATATCACATCCTGTAGAAAGGGGAGATGGCAAGTAGTAAGAAATGAGAAGTGATGCTTCTCCCTCAGCCTTGCATCTCACCCCAATTGTGTTGGATTTTAAGGGAGCAACTGTAAGGCTTTCTCCGGGACCTTTAGCTGCAATGCTCTCATGGTGTCCCACATGAGTTATTCCAGGGACTACATTACTCTTCAAGCATCGGTCTTCGGTTGTTACAAGAGACATTGAAACAGCAGCACTTTGGAAGACCTGTTTTCACTCAGATATCTGCAAGGTCTCAACCACATCTTTGATTTAGTGTATTGGTTTGTGTAATGGAAGCAATGAGCTTTCCTACAAGTGTGGGCTGCCACAAATAATGTGGCATTTTTGGGGTATCATAGATTTGAAACTTTTTTCCCACTTGCAGAATGCCTCCAATGCATTTGTTGGATTGTTGTGTGATTTGTATGAGTAGGCACTTGGATGCTGGAGAAAGCTGGCCTGGGACTCGGTGGTCAGAATGATTTTACAGTCAGTGAAGCTCTCTTACCTCTGGAGATTTGCCTGCAAATGCAAGACCAGTCAGTGATGAGGGATAGGTCTCCTTTCTCTGCCGTGTGGGTTCAACCGAGGAGCTCCTCATCCTAAATACTGCAAAGACAAAACTTTGCACAGGTTCTGGGAATAACTGGAGTGATTTATAGCAGATAAAAGCTGCTGAGCACGTTCTGGTGCAAAGGCACCACTTGCAGCTCACACATTTTTGGCATGGGACATCGTGCTATGAAAGCAGCTATAAAAGCCCCTAGAGAGTAAAACTGGCCGTATTACCTCCTTTCAACCTGTTCTCTGTCCTTTCAGGGTAACGTTTGCATGTGGCCTTCGCTAAAGCCATGCTGTTTGTGCAGGTGGGCTGAGTTTGACACCACTCCTTTCAGGGATCTGCCACACTGCGTGTGAACCAAATGTGCCTTTCTGAAACAAGCCTGTTCATTGAAACCAGCGTCCTGAGCACACTGATGTGGGCAGTGACACCAAGAGGCAGGGTTACAGAGAGGCTTCTTTTGGGTCACCATCGGGGACAGATGCTCCAAGCTAAATTCCCAGTTTCAAATGAAGGCAATTGCAACTGAACTCAATTGCATAAGAGCATCCCTGGGATATTGCCGTGTGCAGTGCTAGTGCTAGAGGTATGCATGGCTTTTGGCTCTGCCCTGGATAAGCCAGTTTATCCCATGCTCACACTCTCTCCTCCTTTCATTTTCAGATCTTTGGGGGCCTTGTCTGGATCCTGGTGGCATCCTCAAAGGTCCCGCTCCCCATGGTGCAAGGCTGGGTGATGTTTGTCTCTGTGTTCTGCTTCGTCATGTCCACCATCCTCCTGTGCCTCTACATCTGCAGCGTGCATGGGGGCAGCAGCTTCTGGGTCACCTTGGTAAGTGGACATGACAAACCTCAGGGCCTCTCTTCTCCCTGCTATCACTGGTGGACAACTGTCTCCTTTCCTGCTACTGCACAGGCTGGGGTTCCTTTTTACCCCCTTCTCAGTATGCTTCCTTTTTGGAAATGACTGTGGGATCCCTGTTTCCTAGGATGCCATCTGCCAGTCAACAGCAGCTCTGTTCTACCTCAGTGCTGCTGTGTTGGAGGCCTACTCCACCTATATCTTGGGTTTCCCTGTGACACCAGCGAACAGATACCGGGAGAACATTGCTGCGGTGGTGAGTGCTTGTCAAGCAAGGGAAGGAAGGCAAGGAGGTGGCTGTGGAGCAGCCTCAAGGGCAAATCTTTACTTGCACCAATCATCTAGGGATGGGGCAGAGAAACTAGTCCCAATACTACTATGTATGAATGCCTCCAGACATGTGAGAGTCAATAGAAATATCATGCATCATGAGGTGTTTGCTTAGAGCAGGAACTTATACCATGTAATAAAAAGTTAACTGGCTGATGTGTTTTTCCATTATAGGTATTTGCATTCTTAGCTACCCTGGTGTACGTGATCCATAAGGTGTTCTCGCTCCTGCGATGGAAATCATCCTAAGAGCCTCCCCTTGCAAGTGTGTCTTGTGGTCACCCCATGAACATGGAAGTTGTTCAATGACTGCAGTTTCCAGGCTGGTTTTGGGTTCTGTTTTTTAATGTAAATACTATAAAACAAGAAGCTTTTAATGTGGGACCATGGCAATGAAGACAAAGAGCCTACCAGAGTAAGCCATATCCTGCACAATCTGTTTCACTTCACCCTCTTCTTGGTTGGTACAGTTTGATGCTGGTAACTGGGGACCAAATAGAAAACATCCAGTTTTAAAAAGAATAATATAGTTGGGTTCAAAGTGCTAAAATCTCCCTGAACCATACCTTTATGCCTCCAGGATTGCAATTTCAGGGGAAGCCTGCACAACCAGCACTAAGGAGCATGAGTATGACACCTTATATATAATTGCCGCCTGTCCATGTAAGCCTGTTTCCCTCCCTAAACCTGCTGTGCCAAAAGAACATTTTCCTAGAGTTTCTGGAAGTGTCATCTCTGTGATGAGAAATGGGGGCAAAATTTAACTTGCCTCAGGGCAATACAAGTTATTGCAACTCCTGGAAGCGTATTGCTGAATTATGAGGCACAACCATAATGCCAGGAATTACCGCTGTCTTTCATTCCCTTACAGCTTAGAAGGTGCTCAGTAGACTGCAGGAGAATTGTATGGATTATTAGAATAACATCTTGAATAAGCAGAGGCAATCAACTTGGTTTTGGTGCACGGCTGCTCTCGCATACACCAGTGCTGTGTTGCTGTAATGAAGATGAGTTTGGCTGCGGTTTTGCAGATAGGCGAGAGTCTTCTGCTGTTCTCCCTTTGTTGCACACAGGTACACAGCCCTGTACAGCCTCAGAAGCACTGCACTGTAACAGGGCAATGCCAAGGGAGGAGGCACAGACTTCAGCACGAGTGAGAGGGCTCTTCTGGCAAGGGAAGCCTACGGGGCCAGGGGCTAAACCAGCTCAGGGACAATGTTCACCTGAATGCTTAAATGACTCCAGAGTTAACTTGAGCAAGTGCTGGGTTTGGCTGGGGTAGAGTTAATTTTCTTCACAGTAGCTGGTACAGGGCTGTGTCTTGGATTTGTGCTGGAAACTGTTGATAACACAGGGATGTTTTTGTTATTGCTGAGCAGTGCTTGCACAGATTCAAGAGTTGTTCTGCTCCTCATACCATGTACCGGTGAGGAGGCTGGAGGTGCAGAAGAAGCTGGGAGTGGACACAGGCAGGACAGATGACCCCAACTGACCCAAGGGATTTTCCAGACCATATGTGGTCATGCTCAGCATATAAAGCTGGGGGAAGATGGAATGGGGGAACATTTGGAGTGATGGTGTTTGTCTTCCCAAGTAACCATTACATGTGATGGAGTCCTGCTGTCCTGGAGATGGGAAGCAGTGAATGAATTCCTTATGTTGCCTTGGTTGTGTGTATGGCTTTTGCTTTACCTATTAAACTGTCTTTATCTCAACCCACGAGTTTTCTCTTTTACTCTTCTGATTCTCTCCCCCATCCCATGAGGGGGAGCATGGTGGCTGTGTGGTGCTTAGCTACCAGCTAGGCTTAAACCACGACAGTGAGTTAACTTAAATGGGTTTAGACCCAAGAAGGGTGTTTCCACATGTTAGAGGTGCCTAATAAACAGTGGTACCAAATTAGCACTTCCAGCCTGTGGGGCAAAAAATGCTTCTGTTTTTAGTCTGAAGGTCCTGGGTAGTAACAAGGATGAGAACAGAAGGGAAATGAAAGTTGACTTGAAGGGACCTCTGTTGCTTTAGGTCCAGGGGGCAATTTTGAGCTGTGACCATGGGCTGGGGTTGAAGCTTTTTAATTGCAATGGGAGGGAAACATTTAAATTCTTTTTTTCCTTGTATTTTTCTTGCTGCAAACCAGCCTGACCTGTTCTGCTCCTGTTAGTGTGACAACAGAAAGTTGATTGCAACAGAGATAGATAGGAAAAGAAACCCCTTTTCAGAGCAGGGAGGGAACTCACAGCCACTTGGAACAATGGCACTTGTTCTGAAGTTCTGCAGCATCCTGTTGAAACTGGTTTAAACATCTTGTCATCGTGGGCGAGTGTGGGTGTGTGTGAGCTCAGACTTGCCCTGCTTCTATTAATGCCCCTGAATTTATCATTAACACACAAAGACACATTTCTGCTTGGGTCTGTTTACAAAGGCAGACATTTGCAGTCATACCCTGGACCCTGGGGTGCAGACTCTGTCCACCTCCTGCACCCAGGTGTGGCCAGCACCTCTACACCAAGCAGTGCTCTCTGTCCCCTCACATCCATGTCCCGATGCCTTGCTGGCCTCGCATTTGCAGCCTGTGTCTTGGCAGGGCTCCCATCTCTTCTCCCCAGTTCTTTCTGCCTGGCTTCTTCCTTTGCTTATGCCTTCCCTGCCACACACTGGTTTACACCAGACTGCACTAGTTCACCTGCTTGTCCCTTTCCTTGTGGCCCCACCAAAGTAACCTTCCTGTAAACCAGCACTGGAGGTGCTGCTGGCTCATCAGCCCAGGGTAGCTGGGAGCTGGCTCAGGCAATGCTATGGACATGGCATTGAGAAGGAAGCCTTGAAGCTGCACAGTAAACTGCACCAAGTCTTTGCCTGAGGAGGGCTGGACAGAGAGAAGGCCCACCACAGGGATAGGAACATCCAAACGAGCTGCTACAAAGCAGTGCTGCCACTTTCAAACCCTCCCAGTGTGGCCCCAACTTCAATCCCATGCAGCTGAACAGCTTGATGATGAACGAGTGTCCCTATTTGCACAGGGTTGCTGGGCTCCAGCACAGGACAGTGGTGCAGTGAGGGGTGGCCCTGTTGCATCAAGCTGCTGGATCGCACCTGTCAGGTGCTGGGTTGCAGCAATAAGCATAGTCCCTGCATGGTGGTAAAAGGAGAAAATGAAAGCAGCACCCTGAGGTTGCCATTCCCCATCACACCCAGCTTTCCTGTCATTTTAACACAGCCATGTTTGGGTGCTGATTGAGGGACCTGAACGTGAGCAGCTTGTGCACAGGCACCCAAAAAGGCCAAAAGCATCCTGGCCTGTATCAGCAATAGTGTGGCAGCAGGGCCAGGACAATGATCATCCCCTTGTACTGGGCACTGGTGAGGCTGCACCTTGAATCCTGTGTTCAATTCTGAGCCCCTCACTACAACAGAGACATTGAGGTGCTGGAGTGGGGCCAGAGAAGGCCAATGGAGCTGGTGAAGGGTCTGGAGCACAAGGGTGATGGGGAACTGCTGGGTGTTTAGTCTGGAGAAGAGAAGGCTCAGGGGGAACCTTGTCACTCTCTAGAACTGCCTGAAAGGAGGTTGTAGTGAGGTGGAGTCAGTTTCCTCTCCCAAGTAACAAGCGACAGGACAAGAGGCAACAGCCTCAAGCTGCACCAGGGGAGGTTTAGATTTGATATTAGGAATAACTTCTTCACAGAGAGGGCGATGAAGCATTGGAACAGGCTGCCCAGGGCAGTGATGGAATCACTGTCCCTGGAAGTGTTCAGAAACCATGTAGATGAGGCTCAGCGATGTGGTTTAGTGGTGGCCTTAGCAGTGCTGGGGTGATGCCTGGAAAATTGCACACCTCATTGCTTCTGAAGCAAAAGATGCTGCCCAGGGCTCAGATAATCTCCTAGGAACTACAAACCACCTACCATCCGTGCATCAGGTCTCATCCTCACATAGAGCCCTGTGGGGACAGCATCGGCCTGAGAATTTGCTGTCACCCCACTGGAAAGGTTTGGCATGATGAACACTTGAGGCTTGATCCTTCTCCCATGGAGGTACTTGTCTGGGGGTAAAAACAGTGGCCTACTGCATCCTCACAGCCACATCTCAACTGGTAGCATAACTGGAGCTTCCATCTCTGCTTTTCTCCTCCAGCTTCCTCACCAAAACGAGGTGTGCAGGCATCTACTCTACCGAGCAGGCAATTAGACTTTAGCTAAAACAAACTACCCACTTGAAAGTAGGCAAACCCTCAGCTCCTGTGGTAAAAACAAGATTACAGACGTATCATTCATTAACCATGCCCAGATTGCAATCTTGGTTACTCTTGCTTAGTTGAATAGTTTAACCACAATGTTAGCTGTTCCCCAAATATTTGTATATTGGATACCTTGCCTCCAGTGAGGCAGTGAGTTAGAAGCATTTCCATCTTCTCCTGAATGGCAGGAGAATATGCTTTGTCTGAAAGCAAAGAAACTTGATAAAAATACATGGCCAGCTCCTTGGAAAATGGAGGAGGAGTTTCTGATGTTTCTCATTTTACAGTCAGCTTTATCTGTGAGTGATGAGTGAACTGCATGCTGGATAAAGCATCTCTACAAGCATCTGTATTAATATGAACAAATCTGTGAAGACAGGAAACCCACAAAAGATGACTTCTATGGAGGAATCAAAACTCCATGTGGGTTTGTGGCAGAATCAGATTTACAGATGGCCCAGTCTGTGTCCCCTTTTCCTGACCCAACTACAGTCCATTCCCTACCCATCTTTGTACAGCAACCACGGCCCCCTCCTGCTCCTGTCTCCTTTATGCTAACAGAATCAAGCATTGAAAACCCAAAACCCATCTGCTTTGAGGGACGGAAATGTCTTATTCCTGGAAGTGCTCAAACATGAGTTACTGTCCCATGGGTCTGAGAAGAGCCCTAAACCTCCTCCAGAGAGCAGAGGCAAGGCAGAGAAGACCTGAAGACTCTCATGGGAGCAGATGCAAGTGTCACTGATGTGCAGACCTTGGGGAAAGAGGAAGATTTGTGGTTGTTAAATTACTTTAAGTTCTGTAAAAGCAAATGGCATTTACCCAACCACTTCCTTACCTTGCAGCTTCTCATTTATATAGCACGGAGGACCTGCAAGGTGGACCTGCAAGGCTTGTGTGGATTCTCTTGGAGGCACCAGCTATAAATCAGTCAGACACTTTCCTGTGCTTTGACTGATGGAGAAAAGATCCATCAGAACAACGCATTGTTTTACCCTGCACTAGCACTGAGAACAGAAATTGACAGAAAATTAAGTTAGGTCTTCTCCCAGCACATGTGCAGAGGAGAGTCTGGATTGCAGGCTCTGGACTGGACTTCCAAAGCCAGCCAAAATACTGCAATATCTCACAGGCTGTTGGGTGTCTGTCCTCAGATATTCGGGCTCTGCTTCATTTGGGGAACTCCCCCCACTTGCATGAATAATTTTTGCACAAATCCAGCTGTTGCTCACCACAACCTTGTCCCTCTTCCTCCCCACCAGAAGACACAGAACTACTTACTGATTTCACTGCTCCCCTACCATGAGTGAGCCTAGGGAGTGAGATGGAGAGCACACACAACTCCCACTACTGCCACTTGCACCACATCTCCCAGACACTGGCATTTTCCGAAAGAAAAAGACACCAACAAATTCACACTGAGCTCATTCTGAGGATTCTTTATTGCTTTCACAAGCTTATCTTTCCAGTAGTTTCACCAAAGCTTGTGAAAGACACATATAATCTGTTGATTACACAACATCTTCAGGAATCAAGTAAATGCATGCTTGAAGGCAAAGTCATGTTCACTGGCTGCTTCCATCTGAATGTCCCTACTCAAACAGTGGTCATAAGAATTGTGGGAAAGCAAAAAGAACGGTAGCAATGGGAGCAGCAATTTAAATGGCATGATTATGATGGCCTCCTCTGAAATGTAAGCCTAGCTAACTTGTCCATTTGGGCTGGGCTTTCCCTGTTGCAGAAGAGACAGAGGGACTGAAGCTTTTACCATACTGTCCGTTTGACATTTGCCCACGGAGATTTCTTCATTCCCTGAGCTGCTTTCACATCACTCCACTCCAGCTTTATGTCTGGAACCTCATCATCAGGCTCGGGATCCTCACGGACAGTCCCCTCAGGCAGTGCCACAACGATGGGCAGAGGGCCCTGCTCCTCCCGGAACTCCACTACACAGAGACTCTTCTGGTTCGCTAACTGCTGGTGAGTCTCCTGGGAGAGGAGAGAGAACAGACAATCAAAGCAATGATACACAATGATAATTTACTTCAGGTCAAACTCTCCATGGTATATGGGGTAAGAAACGTTAATTTACTAACAACAGTTTAAACAGTGTAAATTAAATTACTTGTCAAGCTCAACCTCACGGGTTTCAGAGGAGCTAATTGCATAAGCAGCAGGAATTCAGAGAGCTACACTGCAGATATACTAGCATGACAACGCCATCCTAGAGGATGCTTCTGGAAAGGATGCGGCCAGAAAAGGAACATCCTGCTAATATGGATTCACGCTGGCATGTCAGTAACGTGCAGAAACGTTATTATGTCTTTATATGGATATAAATTTTGCTTTGACAACAGTAAAGTGCTCATTACTGCCCTAATAGGTAATATTAGCTAATGATATGAATTTAACATTATTTTCAACTAAACCTCTTCCTCACACACAAGTTGGTTACAACTCGGAATTAACATTCAGAAT